TTACTTGATGTTTCCATTTTCTGCCGTTTAGGACCTGAGGGCGCGTTTCATGTCCATTAAATCGAAAAAAGCCAACTAGCAGTCCATGATTATATAGTCAAAGCTCTGGACCGAGCATACGGCGAGGGGGCTGGCAAATTTGCGGTAAGGGGGGCGAGAGTGCTCTCCTTTTCTGTCCTCTTGGACCTCTCTTTCTACAAGAGGTCACAGTGACCTCTTGTAGAAAGAGATACCATGAGATACCAAGAGGACAGAAAAGGAGAGCACCCTCGCCCCCCCCCCTTACCGCAAATTTGCCAGCCCCCTTGCCCGTTCTCCCACTTCGTGCTCGGTCCAGAGATTCTTAGGTCCATGGCCGGCACGGCCAAAAACACGCGAGATACAGGCCTTCGCACATAAAATTCCGTAAAGGCCTTCACACATAAAATTCCGTAAGGACGTAAAACGTAAGCATAAGAAAATCGACCAATCACAGTCGAGAACGAAAGGCAATAACGCAAGCAGTAGCAAATCCAATCTGTTGATTTTCTTAAGCCCGTATCAGACTATAATACGGATTGGGATTGGGATTAGAATTTAGATTGAAATTTAACCAATCACAGTAAAGTTTACTAATCTTAAGAGGATGCTAAACCCGTCTGTTTTATCGACATTTTTGTTTAGAATTAATCTTTTAATTAAGTTCAGTAACTTTTACTCTGATCAGCTGATTTGAGAGAACAGAGTTTTGCGCTCATATTCTCAAACGCGCGGTATTTGTTTTCTACCTGACCACGATTCTCCCACATAAAAATATATATTTTGATCGCACATTTTATATACTTGCCCGCCCTTTTTATTATGCAGCTCTCTGCAGCCAGTTGCGCAGCTAATTCTGAGGGTGCTTTCACATGGAGCGTAAATTGCTAAAAGAACGAAAATCTGCCCTGCAGTCGACTGCGCAGTCGTGCTAAAAAAATGAATTACTGCAAAAACTGCTGTATCCGATGCTTAAAAGAACGCACCCAATATGTCATTGAAGTACCGGGATTCTGCCGCTCCACCTGCGGCAGCGTTCGTGATGTTGATTACAGCCTGAAAAGACCAACTAGCAGTCCATCAGTCTATATAATTATATAGTCAAAGGCAGTGGCGTAACTACAATGTTGGGGGCCCCCGGGCAAAAATTGAATAGGGCCCTTTATATAGGGGTCAAATTTAGGGATCATTAGAAGGTCAACTTGAAATTTTCAAATGGAAACGAAACCCCTATTTTTGACAACAAAAACGGATAGAACAGAAGATTAAGTCAAGATTTGTCATTGATCTAGCTATCTGTAAGTAATCTATAGCTCACACAAAACTCCCTCCTTTTTTCTTACACGGGCTTGGGACCAATTCTTTCGACCGTAACAGTCCAGAATATTTAGGGGGCCCTTCTAAGCTGGGGCCCCCAGACCGTGCCAGGGCTTCCCGGGTGGTAGTTACGCCACTGGTCAAAGGACTCCATGAATAAGACAAAGAAGAAGTCGGCCTCTCTCGACCCTCTGCTCTGCCATCGACACTCGCAGCTAACGTCACGCCGTGACAGCGACGGGGACTCTACGTTCACATCCACAAAATATTTTGACAAGCGCGAATACAATACACTCTCGTGGCCTCGTCGCCGATTCGGAGAGTCCCAGCGAGGCGAGGCGGGACCCATGGATTCGTACTTTCATCGTAATCGCGTTTAGTTTCGTCGGCTCGTGAGATAATCTCGCTCGCGATTGCTCCGTATATTCCGTACGAGTCCTGAGGTATGGCGCTGTCAAACATTTTGCTGCTCAGCCAAATAGCCGGCTACGTCGTGGCCCTTATTCTGTCGCTCTGCATCATCGTGCCTATGAGCCTGCACGAGGACGAATTTAAGTAAGACCGTACTCGACGTTACGACAATTGTAAACTTCTCCGTCGCGCGTCACCAAACTCACCCGTTTTCCATCCCCTTTTTCCAGGGGACACTGTCTTCTGTTCTCGACCGGAGTCTGGCAGGAGTCGGACGGCCAGTTCGTGGTCAACTGGGCGTCGCAGGCGTATTGCAATTACACGGTGTTCGTAGGTCTGGTCCTCCTCGTGACGTCGACGGTACAGATCTACCGGTTGTCCCTGTTTATGTATCGCAGCGAGGACAGCTCGTTCCTCTCGGCGTTTGTGGACGTAGTAACTTGCGTCCTTCTCACCACCGTCACCTTAGTCGCGGCGATTATCGTCACCTTAGGTTTCATGACGTGGTGCCAATGTATGACCAAGAGGTTCCCGTCGTGCGAGCTGGCGGCCGGCAATGACATCGACAAGGCCGACGGTATCGACACGTCGGGTTTCCACATCGAGCTCGGCACTGCTCAGTTTGGCATTTGGAGCAGCCTGTCGATTTGGGTGGGTTTGTCGGTTTTCGCGGTCCTAAAGCTGCTGAGGTATCATCAGCTGGAGAATATGAAGGTTTCCATGTATAGAGAGAGGCAGAGATTGATAGAAGCTACCACGAGCAATCAGCAACAGGAGCCGACTTAAGAGTCGCTAGCCTAACGTTTCGTTTCTCAGGGTGAGTTTGATAATAACGTTTGCCAATTTGCAAAGACGAGCGAGACAGTAATCTCAAGGAATGTGCGTTTGCGTCGGCGGTGTTGCGTTACTCGCGAGATTTTCGTTAGCTCCAAGGCGCACGGAGTTGCTGCGAACGACGTGATATATCGATATTGTTCTGTGTTCGGAGCCAATCACATTTCAAAAGGAGTAGCCAAACCTTTCTATCGGCAAGAGACATCGGTATACAGCAAAATATTTTAAGAATATTAGTTCTCGTTCACAGTTGAGGAAGAGTTCTTTAAAAATATCTAGCGTTCGATCGGTCTTTTCTAGGTTTGGACATATAAGACTTGTATAAAGGTCGTGTTAACAATGTATATATTACAATATATTTATAAACCAAATATATAATGAACTGATACAAGCATATAATTGTAATAAGTAATCAGAGTTAATAAATGCTTTTTTTTATATATTTTTTCGTTTCTGTTAGGTATACATACATACGTAGCACTGTATGTACGTGCGTGTATAGGCAATTTATAACATGGGCTACCAGATTGTTAGGCTTAAGAATACGATACAAGAGATATTTGTTACGTGACGCTTTTGTTATTTAATGCTCTTTAAGTGTATCCATTATATTTTATTAACAAGCGCGCCTGTAATTTTGTATATATATAAATTACAAAATACATATACCGAAGTTATCCTGATGCAGCCTGACGTACTTTACTAAGTCTAAGAACCTGGAAAATTGAGTGTATATAACTTTGCGACGTATCCCACATGTTGTAATCATGTAAAATGCGTAAAAGGCATCGAAATAGAGAGCATGCGATAAGCTGGATCAGACAAGATATCGTGTATTCATACTTTCTTGCATGCTCCGAGTGTGCTTCTCTTGCTGCCTGGCGGACATACTCGTGTGGGAAGCTCGATTATTATAAAAGGCGCAATGCTTGCCTCTACGCACTCCAATTCGAAAGTAGTTTCGTTCACGCCTATTACTCCGTCGGGCGCGCATGGACCGCCTCTGGTTCTAAGAGGATAGCATGTATCGTTAAACTGCACCTCGCCGTCTACCGAGCAAGGATTCTCGACGCAACGGGGAACCGCCTCGTCTTCAGGAAGAACGACATAGTTTTTCGGCGGACAGGGGCCTTGTCTATAGGCTTCGTAGCAAGAGTCGTTCAACGGGAAGTACAAGAATCGAGGCCTACAATCGCACACCCAGCTATCCTTTCCGCCATCTCCTGGGTAGCGAAGCATGTCTTTCGGGCAACTGTCCGGTTCCGATACGGGTATACGGTCCTCTATCGTCTGCGAGGATGATCGTGTTAGAAAACGAAAGCCGTCACTTATCACTTTTTAACATTTATACTACCGTAGAGTTTCCGCCGCTGACGTGGGAGGTTTCCTCGTCGGTTGGATACGATACGTCCTGTCCCCATGTCACACAGTTAAATGCGAGAAGCGCAAAACCGATGTACAGATACTTCATCCTCACTACTGGACACGAGATCGAGCCGCTGGGAAAGCTACACATATGTTTATAAGCGCGATAAAGAGTGGGGAAAAAGAATATAGGAGACTTAATAATTTATAACTTTTATACAAGTACAAAGGTCAAAGCTAGAACGCACTCAACGAATATTTATATCGCCAATGACTGGTCACATGGTGACGAGGTGATACAAACGTAAAAATTTTCCATCCGCTCTCGAGTATTTTCGATGACTAAACGGAAGAAAGATCAGAGGGATATATATATATATATATTAGCTAAAGAAAACGCCCATTACAATCTGAATAAAAACTATCTGACCAATGATTAGTGATATAATTGTGCACAGCTGCTTTCCGGCTCTGATTGATACTTTTAATATTACATAAAATGTTTTCCTTACGATTCTTAGCAACGCGCCGTCCTCTTCTTGCAAAAGAGAAAAGATGTAGGAATATCGCACACGTGTTAACAAGCGGCAACTGGTGAACTTGAGAAAGACGGTCTTAGATTCTCTCGAATGCGTACGCGCAATTATACTGAGCCGATGTAACGGCGACTATGATGTTTCAAGGCTAACCACTGTCAAACAAAAGAAAATGAAAGAGTATACTGACCAGAGCGATAATCTTTTACCAATACATCGGCAAGTCATACGCGTACATGTAATCCACGAGAGAGTATGTACGTGGGAAACGAGTAGAGAAGAGAAGGAGAGAGGAATCGATTACACTTTAATTCTAGAAAAATATGGTTAGCAACTGTAATCCGAAACTATTGACTCACTCGCAACATGGTGAAGAGCGACGTTCAAACGTAAACTTTTGGAAATATTTAAGTGTTAAGAGGGTGAGTTTTTTTTTAAATCATATATTTACAAGAAATACGTTACAGAATTATTCGTTTAAAAATTCCATTTCATTATGTGCACCTATAGAATCGTTCATCGAACTCGTGAAGTGACTCTCGTTGTATTCCGGCCAGGATTTAAATTCTTTGAAGAGTTCCAGAATTCGTACTGGCGTCAGATCTCCAAATTGCGTGTATATCGTGTAATCTTTGGCTATTAGTCTGATTCCGCAGTCTGGTACCCATTTTCTGGAGAGCCAAATAACATGTAAAAGTAACGAGACAGATACATTTGAAGTTCCTTGTGGCGGAACAACGTTTGACAGAGACTGTGTTGCTTTTTCATCATACTCACTCTAACGCGGGTATCACTCTGGTACAGCGTTTTTGCATGTGATATTTTACAAAGTAGGAAAACGTTATCCAATCTTTTCGCGACAATTCTGAATAGAGGTCGGCTCTCGGCTCCAGCCTTATCACGTAAATTTGTTCGTAATCCTGTTTTAACCACAAACTAGTTGCATTATTTCCAGGCTGACGTTTCTTCTTTGGCCACGGTATGAAAGCCTTTCTATTCAGCGTGCCCAGGAGTTCGTAATTAAACATTAATTTGAACATCACCTTTGAATACGAGTATAGTGTTTGGTTGTTAAAAGTACCGATGTTATATCTCTGAAACATATTGAGACCAAGTGTCAGTACGATTATTAAGCGTACTCTTCGGGATGCTTGAAAGTAAAACAAAAACAAGAATAAACTGCGATACTAACGTGCCACATGGACGGAAGTATCGCGATGTAGAAGACGGGCCTTCCGTGGAACGTGAAACCATTGCGGAAGATTAAATTGTATATAATAAACGTAAATAAGCTTTTGCTATCTGACGCGCCTATTACTTGCATGTAAGTTTCGTCTTCCCAATTCTTGCTTTCTATCGCCTTGAAGCTATCCTGATACCTGCTGTCAGTGGCTTTATCCTCATAAAACGTTCTTATCAATCCAAAGAGATTCAGAGAAGTTTTCGAGGAGATCAGATTCAATTTTCCAGGATATTTGTCGCAGAGCGTTTCCAATATCCCGTGCAACTTTACGTTCTTTTCGTACAGATGGATCAGCGGTACGCCAGCGTTCAACAGTTCTCTCGTTAATATGCCGAAGCCAGGATTCAATTCGGCAACGTAACACATGTTCTTCGAGAGGTCACTTCTTATCAAAGAGACATATTTTGCGGCGGTCTCTTTGTCGATCAGGTGCAGTATGTTTGTATCCACCGTTTTAAATCTCCATTTCATTGACTGGATAATATCAATTATATCCGGATTGACTTCCTGTATATAATTAATAATATCCAACGTCTCTTCATTGTGCAATATCGAATGCTCAATGTATGTCAGTTGCGACCCTTTGTTCTTCTTCCTCACTCTTGGTAATCCCGTTTTATCACTCGGCCCCTTTGTCCCTGCAGAACCAACAGCTTCTTTCCGCTGGGTCGGTGACCTGTCGTCGATCACCGTCGAGCAATATGCATTTATGACGTGCCTGTTCCTTCTTGACAACCAGCAAGCTATTGCAGGTGGGAAGCTTTTGTGCAACATTTTATATTCAGTCTGTAAAATTAGGGAAAACCAATTAAGAAATAAGATCTGGAGCGATGAATTAGATACGGTAATAAAAGATAAGGGAATACTAAAGCTACGGATGGAAAGAGAAAGCGGGTTACGAATTTTAAAGAGTGAAAAAGGAGAGAAAGAGGAAGAAACGTAAATAAGGTAAGATCAATAAAAGACTAATAAAGTATAAAGAATACAAGATCCATACAAGTGTAAGTACAAATAGGGAAAAATTTAGCATAGAATAAGGCTAAGCTTAGAATTGCTAAATTTAGGTTTCAAATATAAGTAAATAGCTAAGTGAGTAAATAAATAAAGAAATTAATGCAAGCTCGCCCAACGTTGTGACAATGTTGTAACGTTGCTGCAATATTCTGTGTTTGCTGGGCGTCTTAATCTCTTACGAGCAGTGTTCAGTTTAATATGACAATAAAATTAGGGTGTTTAATAATTAAGCGCATAACATAGTTATCTGACTCCAACTTAAAATATAAGATGACGCGTTTATCTAACACATAAAGATGTGATAACAAAAAAATTTCGATTTAAAAGTAATAGTTTAAATTGACGAACGTTTCGACTTTACTTAGTCTTCGTCAGTCCCTAAAATAATATAATTATTGGCAATGAGTGTATGAAGATGTTGGCGCACGTGTACAATGGTGTATAATATAAATATTACTTGTGATTCAATTGTAAGAAATTCCTCTTCCAAGCGCTGTCCAGTAATTTGCGGTAATATGTTGCAATCTCTTTCACATTTCTAAGTGTGAACAGTCCGGTAACACGATGAAATGGACTGAACACTGCTCGTAACACTGTTGGCCTTAAAAATGTTTGACGTTCAAATAAATTAAGCAATTAGAAACACCAGTCGCAACGCGCAGGGATGAAAATAGGGAGGTTGGAAACGAGCATGCAAGAATGAACGAGTCAAATTAACACATTGTCAAGTAAACCAAGTCCACGTCTTGGCTGTAAGCTGAAGTTAATGAATTGCTATTACTATTCGGTCTGTACGGAACAAAAATCTTGAAGAGTCTCGCAATCTTCGAAGTGTCCCCAGTGCGGTCGCGTTCATCTGAAATTTGCGACTAACTTTGCTGACTGTAACAAGCGAGATTTCTCAAAGAACTTTTCCAAACTTGTCGACCTCTCCCAGTATTTCGTGACTCTCTCCCTAATAAAATTCACGCGCGAGACGCCTCGGTACGTCTCGTTGTTTACAAGCAAACTTAACCTAGTTTAACCTAATCTCACTTTTCGGCGCGTTACGTACGCCACGAGGTTTCTGCTTGTCACACCTGAGATAGCAGGGCAAGTAATTAACAAAATGTATTTACGTGCAGTGCGCAGTTGTTCGTGAAGTGGTTATCTGTACGTAGGCTCCGAATTGCAAGTATGTCGCATTTTTTTTTCTATATTCCACAATTGCGCCACGTATCCATAATATTAAGTTTGGTTATATTCGTTTTCTAACGCGTTACCGCGTCGCTTTATATATCTGCGGGCAAAATGTTTCAGCTATGAAAGTAGAATTTTTGTTTATTTTTGTCGCACTAGCCAGATTTTGTGATTAATACTGTTGTTGTGTTCGCAGCTCTCGCAGGTATGAGAGATACACATCTCGGACATTATCTTTGAGTTTCTGAGAAACGAGGGCAGCTTATCGGCGATACTGTATCATTGCCATTATCATCTCGACAAAGCATTCGCAAAATGGCTCAAAGCGCCGCTCTGTTAACGCGCATAGTGGCATCCTCCGTTTCCGCCACCGTACAAGCCGGCAAGATAATCCGGGATGTGTTGAGCAAAGGTGGGCTGAACATTGTGGAAAAGGGCAAGAACGATCTGCAAACGGAGGCGGATCGTTGCGCCCAACGGTGCATCATAACTTCGCTCAGTCGCCAGTTTCCAAACATCACGATCATCGGCGAGGAAGAGCCGTCTAGCTGCGAGGTGCCGTCAGAGTGGATCATCACGGAAGCGGACCAAGAGGTGTTGCAATTGAAACTACCGACCCACTTGGAGGACGTCAATCCCAAGGACGTGTGCGTCTGGGTAGATCCTCTAGACGGTACTGATATCTCAAGTGTATGGATGTAAACGTCCATCGCGATAAGACACTCTCGTGCCTTTGTTTCACTTTGCATCGTTGCCTTCCGCAAGTGTGTCGGAGCAGAAGTCAACGTTATTTACAAAAGACTCCGCATTGCAGGTACGGCGGAGTACACGCAGGGACTGGTGGAGCACGTTACGGTACTGGTCGGCGTGGCGATCGGCAAAACGGCAGTCGGAGGCGTAATTCATCAACCCTACTACAAGAGTGACGAGAACAGCCCGTACATTGAAAACGGCCGTACATTGTGGGGTATCGACGGCGCGGGATTCGGGGGGTTTACTCCAAAGCCGCCGCCGGATGGGAAGAGGATAGTCACGACTACCCGGTAGCGAGCTACACCTTTGACATTTCCACTTTGATATCTTGTTACGTTGAGTATATCGTATCGTTTGTTCTCAGCTCGCACTCCGACGGTATCGTTCAAAGTGCCATAAAGTCGTTGGAGCCCGATGAAGTGACACGCGTCGGTGGTGCTGGCCACAAGGTAGTTGCATAAACGGACTGCCCGTCCCGTTTGCGTGTAATCCTCCGAATTATCCGAAAAACATAATCTCTATTGCAAATAAGTTGGTAAATAAACTCGAGGTGTTTATTCGCAGGTGATTCTTCTGTTGGAAGGAAAGGCTCACGCATACGTGTTTGCTAGTCGCGGATGCAAGAGATGGGACACTTGCGCGCCCGAAGCCATTCTTCATGCAATCGGCGGTGTTTTAACCGATCTCCATGGCGAACGCTATTCTTATAATAAGGAAACGACGTATGTAAATGTCAGAGGCGTACTGGCCACTGCGCCTGGTCAGCCGCATCAGTGGTATTTAAGTCATATACCTGACGAAGTGAAACAAAAGTTACAATAGGTGTGCCTGCGTACTACGCGGCTTTTCAATTGGCATCGTCCAATGATATTTAATAACTTAAATAAAAAATTTTAATCATCCTCAGTGGGTATAATAAAAACATTCCGTACAGTTCTATATTTTTCAACACTTGATATCGACATAGGGTTCTTATTTATAAAGCAAAGACGACTGTTGGTCTCGAAATAATCTTAAAATAAAATTACGACAAAAAAAAGAGATTTTATTATTACACTCCCACTTTGTGAATCTTTTATGTTATTTTTGACTATGTAAAAATAAATTTAATGCTATCACGTTGGATTGATAAAAATATCACGCCTCGAAGGGGCGTTAATAGATTAAACGGAAACAACGAAATAAAATCAACGAGGAAATAAATATTCACGGTCAATATACTGACGCGGCAGCCATTCCGGTTTTCCGTCAAGGCATTTAAGTAGAAGGGAGAATAAAAGGCTCTATAAGAAGTCTCGGCAAGTTAGTGCGCGACCGTGCGTCGTGCATCATCCAGCTTAGCAAACTGATTCCGATATTCCAACTGGACCTTTACTCGTCTCGCCACCAAACAGACTGGTTGTCCTTCGGAAGTTGTATATAAAAGAGCGAGAAAGATAAAGGGACGAAAGAAGGCAAGAGATTAAATTTGAAGAGCTGACGCAGGAGATAGGAATTCGAAGAAGGTAACGAGGCTTATTAAGAAATTAATTAGGAATCAATTCCGGAACGGCAAGTCAATAGAAATGGCGGTACATTTTCTATTCGCAAAATCGTTTCTCTTGGCGATATTCTTCGTAAATATTTGTGAGAATTATGCTGCTTATCAGCCACCAGCAGCTACGGTGCAGCCACTTCATCCCATGGGACTGCGCATTTCTATTCCTGGTAAGATAAAACTTCAATTACTCAAGTATATTTATATTTGGTACCGGACAAATAAAATTAAACTAAAATATTGCAAGTACTTATGTGGATACTTTTGTTAAATTGATTTCAAATTGAAAGAATCTGCAATTTAAATTACAACTGTTTTAAGACACCGTGTACGATCTGTTTAACAAATGTTATAATCAAAATTGCAGGATTACATTTAATCAGAATAATATTCTTTTCTTATAGATGAGTTTGGAATTACATTAGTCGCCTTCCATGTGAAAATCAATGAGGATTTTGATGGCTTAGAAGCGGGACATATCGCGAAGGATATTCTCAAAGTTCGCAATGGACGATGGACTTATGAAGACCGGCACACTCAATTAAAGAGAGATGATATCATCTATTATTGGATTCACGTGGTATATCAAGGCCTTGGTTACAATTTGGTTGATCAATCACATCGGGCTGTTGGTAAGTTTTGTATAAATATTGGTCACAGCTGATTATTACATAATAATACAGGGGATTACATAATCCTCTGTCTTATTACACATATATACGTATAAACTATATGTCTATTTAATTAAAAGCTATTTGGTCTTGTATTATCGCTGAGCGAATCTCAGTGATATTAAATTAACGATGCAATTTTATTACCATTTATTTGTGATTTAATTTGGTTCTTCGAAAAAATTATTTATTCGCTACAGTATGCAATTTTCGTTTGCAATTGATCCTTGAAACTTCGGTTAATTTTTAGACTTTTACAATTACGATGGCGCTCCATACGTTGCCGATACGGTTCAAAGTTCGCAGAATTGCGCGACGACGTCGACGACATGGGTCTTCGAGAACGGCAAAAGACGACAAGCCTGTCCACGTCAACTCATTTTTGAGGACAACTTTGATACTCTTACCGCACAATGGAATATATTGAATCGTTTTGGTTGGAACAAGCCGGTACGTATCGCCAACGGGTGTTTATGAATAAAAAAAAAACTTTTACCAAATTGTTACGTTATGCATTTTTGACGCTAGGATTCCGAATTTGTCGTCTACATGAACGCGACAGCAATGGACACCACTGATGGACGGTTGCGCATTACACCGATTCTGCTTAATACTCAATACAGTAACAGCAGGGACTTTGTATCTCATGGAAACTTAATTTTGGAAGAGTATGAATTATAAAAGAATAAGGAAAACTAAAGGACTGAAGTCAAATTTAATTATATTATAGTTTTCCGGTATTAAGTATATTCTTTTTTTCAGTTGCACGGGCGAAGTTGGTACAGAGGAATGCCAACATCTAGCCTCTGGCTCATACATCCTGCCTCCTGTAATCTCCGGACGTATCAATACAAAGGGAAAATTTGAGTTTCTCTTCGGACGTGTCGAAATAAGAGCCAAATTACCACATGGCGATTGGGTGTATCCTCGTAAGTTTATCAGCTAACTTTTCACCATCGATTTCGTTTGTGACTTTAATCATTACAAATGTTTCGTAGTGATAACACTGGAGAGCGCCGAGAATACATTGGAATTGGGACTACATCGCGAGATTAGGATTGCATCCTCGGTGGGCAACGAAGAGCTAAGGACTCCTGAGAGTGAGACCGTCAGTGGCCGCATACTGTCTGCGGGCGGACTGATCACGTCCTTAGACAACAGCAACACGCAGAATAACCGCATGACGCTGCCCAAGAGACAGTCGAGCAAACCCTGGTCGGACGATTTCCATGTCTTCGAAATCGAATGGAAGAGTGGCCTCATTGTAGTAAAGGTCGACGGAGTTCAGTACGGCGAGCAAGCTGTCGATGGATCATTTGGAAAACCGGTATTGAAATTATGGCCGGTATTCATAGTCGAGTCTTATTTCAAAATCATCTTAAGCGTTGTCTTAAGACGCTAACACGGCTCAGTGATTAGTTAAAAACACATTAAGAGTATACTTAAGATGATCTTAAATATAAGAACGGACTATGAATACCGGCCTATATCTGATATCTTTTCCTCGTTAACGGAGGAGCTTTTACTCTTTGCACACTCTTACTAAATCTTGCAGCGATGCTAAGACTTTGATTTCATTTATTGTGCAGTCGTATTTGACTTTGGGCGTAGCTGTCGGAGGCATTCACGAATTTCAGGATTTCGTCACGAGCAGCGGATATGTCAAACCTTGGCGAAATGTCGAAGCAAAGGTATATTATTGAATATTTGAGACTCGAACGAAACGTTTCTAAGCCCTGTGCTAAATATACTAGACATTTTAACAAATAAATACAATCAATATATTATTCTTTACAGGCATTGTTGAAATTCTATCGCGCGAAAGACCAGTGGTATCCCACGTGGGACACACGAACAGCGCTTCAAGTGGATTACGTGAAAGTGTGGGCATTGTAAATACTTTCGTCTCCATGAAATAGTATTTGTATGGTTACGTATATTTTGTATATCTTATATATACATGTATTCTATGCGCGCATCTTTCTTGCAAAATAGCACGTTCACATGTTTGTAATAACAATTGCGTAACTCATATATATTATACGCAAAATAAATAACACGTACTGATGATCGTGCCTCATGATTGTTTCTCATTGTAGAGTTCTGGCTATTGTACTACAAACTTAAGTTAACATAGTTTGTACTTCTACCGATTGTATTCGAGTGCACTCGCGCTGTTGCGAATCATCTTACTATTACTAAAGGGAATTGGAGGTGGCATCAAGAACACGTCGAGTACAGGTTGCCGGTTCAGTTGAATATCAGGACCAAGACCGTTCCCCAATTGATTAATGAGCCACTCTCCGCGATATCCAAAGCGCCGTTGATATGCTTTCGCAGCGCGTGGTCCATCCTCGGGTCTGAACTCGATGTGCATCGGCTCATTTTCGGTACTTACGAAACGTAATAGACTCGTGATACCGTTCCTGGTCCATTCCCGAAGCTGCAAGCCACTGGGCCAGAGTCTTGGGAAGATTGAAACATCGGGCTGATGTTTGAACAATGCTTGCGGCCACGTGAACGACGACAAGTCAAATGTCCTGGCATTCCGTGTCAACGTTCGATCGCTGCTCCATACGTTTGTCTACTCAAGATAATTGCATTTTTGTCTTCGTTAACACGAAATTGAACAAATTCAAATTTCATCAGTTCGATACGTGATTAAATTGGCACTTTTTTGCAGATTCGATTATAAGAAATATAAATAAAAATATTACGGTCGAAACTGAAGATAAAATTCCTCGAATTGAATCAGAGAAGCAAGTGAACGCGTGTCTGCTTAATACAAGCTCACTTACCGTACAAAGGATGATTGTTAAAAGTACTTTATCAACATGCATGACTTGTTAAAATTGCGCTTGTTGCGGAAGCACCTAATGGAAAATAATGGACGACTGGCTGCATTTAGACCGCGTCTGGCTTTTATGCCCTCCTCTCCCATAGCCCATAGACAATTCGTGATTCGCATAAAGTATCGATTCGCAAATAACTGATTGTTATTCGCGACAGGAACCACCGTAACTTTTTAAACTCTCGCGCGTCGTTAAGCGCGCGATCGAGTTTTTACTTTCACTGCGGGTATTACGATAGACGGCCAACATATTTATGTATAAGTATACAGGATTAGTGAATAAGATTCGTACAGTGGAACCATTCCTCGTCGGTAACGATACTAGTGAACCGAGTCATGTGTCGGAACCGAATATTGGTAGGTTCAGTGAAAAATTTACGAAGAATTGAATTGATCTCGCAAACAAATGATAAGAAGTTCGTGGTAAACAAACAAAATTGTGTGTCACGAAGCATGTAGAATAATTTAGCGGTGCTGTGTTAATAAATTATTAGTAAAGGACTGTGTAATAATTTAAGCTAGATTATTTGTTTTAACAATAATAATCTCAATCATTTCTTTCTAATCTGTTTACTCTCTGCGCGTTCTATTATAGATTGTTATGCTGACGGCATTATTACTTCATAGTGAAATTATTGTGCCAATCGCCAATGCTACAGTCGACAGATTCCTGCAAGATTTTATTCAGTATAACATAGCAGGTGTACCTATCGTGCACGAGGTAATTGCATATTATGTAGAGCATTTTTTATTTCACTTATTTTTCTCGCTTTCATGTTATGCAGAAAACGGAATGGGACTTTGATCCGAATGTCGGCAAGCAAAGAAGGATTCGATACGAACAGGAAAACGGACGTTTCGGAGAATACGCTATAGCAAAAATTGGAATGGGCATTGGATACAAAGGTCCATGGGGAACATCAGTGAAATATTAAATTGTATGCAATTACATGTCTTTAACATAATGCTCATATTTTCTTGAAGTGACATATGGATCAAATCTTCGTGTAAATATATCTCTTATAAATCAAATTCAAATTTTCGTTTATTTTTATTATCATTAATATTTACTTACTTAATTTTTTTCGTATTTTTTTATTCGATTTAATTCGATTTAATCGTATTTTAATTGTCCACAATGGCAATTGTGATTGAAGGTGATTAAAAAGTGTGATTTCCTCCTCTTATTTTAGTACTGCACGAATTTTTAGCCAAGTCATATTTCGGCAAAATCGATTTTGATTAAATATTTAATTGGAATAAGTGTATGTATATATCTGAAAAATTAATGATAATTATTTAATGGCATCAGTCATGGGCAATTTTAAGTAATTAAAAAACACCTTTGTTTTTGATATTTTTGTATTTTCTTAATATTTATACTTTATCACGTACAATTTGCAATCAAGAAAATATTTTATCGATACTTTCGAAAGACATTTCGGATATTGCGAAAAATTCATGGTCGACGTTTCAAGTGAAGTAATCAATGTATGTAGCACAGCGTATCTCAGAACTTTCACTTTACACATCAGAGAAAGAATCAAGATGGTAGGGGAATGAAGAAATTCAGACCGAGTTCTGTCGTGGACCTGGAACGTTGGATATAGTGACTCGATCTCAGGAAATTTGTTAAATTTATTAGTAATTGATCGAACAATTAATAATTGTTCTACTAAAAAAGAAACCTTTAGTTCGCATTATTTTCAAAAATTCTTGACTCTCTCTCTCTCTCGCTCTACTATTAATCGAGAGGACATTTCAACTGTTATAATGGCGAGTTCTACGTCTGTAAGTAATAAAAAATGATATTAATAGACTACAAATATAGTCTTCTTTAATCTAACAAGGAATATAATTTTTTTTCTTGAATAGAAACTTAATTAACAGCTGCCATCTGTCGCAACTTTCTAATTGTCACACATTGCATCTCAATTGAATTTCGCTCGAGGCTCATTAATACTTGATGTCTTGCAAAGAAATTACCTCATTATTTCTTAAATTTTTGTCTTTGTTTTACAGTGGCTGACTGTAATCACGTTAACAACTTTCGCCATTCTTTCTCTCACTACAATCAGTGAAAGTGTAGCCGTACTTCCGGAACCACAAGCCCCCAATTTCCAATATTTTGAACGGTTGGTGAAACAATCTCGATATTTAATTATAGAATAGACAGTTAACAAAATTAGTTATCATTTACTTCGATGTTAAATATCTGTACGATTCCGATTGTTACGTTATAACGCAGTAGTTTTCTAAAAAAGGTTCTAAAGTTTTCACTAAAAAGCATCGTAAATAGTGTATTGTAGTAATTCTTTTTTTTTGTTACTTTTTTAGGCCAAAGTATCGCTATCCTTATTACGATGAAAATGGTAAAGGAAAGCTGCTCTATGGCTACGGTGGCCCTGAATTGTTTCAATATAAAACATACAGTGTTCTAGAAGGAATTCATTAAATGATCACATTGTTTAAACTCTTAGAAAATTGAATATAAAATATTTGTATACATATAACGTAACATATATGAGAACATGTGATTAATCCATTAATATACTCATGAAACATTAATTCGAATATATCTGTATAATGTAACACGCTGGCATCTTTTCGATGGCACACAATTAAATGTCACTCGAATATATAAGGTCACTATTACGCTATTTGGGAAAACAGGACGTGCGTTGTTGGTACAATTTGCATTACGTTACCTTGCCATCGAAAGGATACGTTCGCTATTGTGGAATTAATAAGGAACATTGTAAGAGCATTTATTTTCGCTGATTACAACTGTATTCTTAAATGCAATCGATTTGTATGGCTGATTTTAATTACAATATATTTGTCTTTGTCTTGTTCTTACTCGGTAAAATGCTGCATGATCCGCTTCTCCTCTAACGTGAATTGACTGACAATGAGTGAACAAACGGCGGAATCGACATTTCTTGCCGAGTGAGGCTTAAAAACTGTTAGAATATTTAGAAAAAGGTGTAAGATAGAATGATTACGATGATTCAGTGCAAACATTTGCTTTGGAGAGACTGCAGTCTCTAAGACTATATTACAAATAGAATATATTGTTTAAAAGTCATTGATCTATCAAACGTGCGTGGAATGTGCAGTAGCATCGCTACCATCTATGAAATAGTGGTTTATAGTCTCACTGTTGGGACAATAATGAAATATAGTCTAATAACTACAGTCTATGTAACTTACTACATCGTTACCGAAATGTTTCTCTCTTCCCTTTTTCTTTTCTACGTGCACAACGTGCTGGAAAAAATAGAAACGACAATTTGTAAATGGTAAAAAAACTGCAGTCACACTGCGCAATTGATACATTAAAACTGTCATCAAAAGAATATTATTATTCTCTTATTTTGTGATAGAGGTGCACACGTGACGAAGGTACGAACGTGCAAGCACAGTCGAGTAGATGTGAGTTAGCGAGACGTGTCAATTATAAACGAACGCGACCGACTGCATATTGACGCCGAGCGATAATTGATGCGCTTATTCATTATGTCGATGTTTGTCCGCCTTGCTCTCGCCGGCAGACTGTAACTGTCATACGAAATCCATTTCGAACTTGTTATAATACTGGCCATTGACGCGACGTCTTTGCAGTTGCCTCTCGATGAATTTCTTTATCTCGCTGATGACGAAGACGCTCGATGTCAACGCCGCCAGGAATAGTAGATCTAAAGGTTAAAAATAAACATGTTATACAAGAAATATCGATTATCTTTAACAGTATCGTCGGATACCTTTTGCTGTGAGAGCTTCAGTCTGAAATATTCTCTGCAACGGCGGGAAGTAGATGACGAGCATTTGCCCGATGACAGAGAGTGTTACGGCCACCAAGAACATTTTATTACTCCACAAACCGATCGTGAATATGGATTTCGTCTGAAACAAAGGAGTATTTGAGGCTGTAGCAATCTTCTTTTCTTGGTATAATGACGATTTCAAATTAAAGTATTATCTGATGTTTTCGCAAGGTCGTATCAGCGCTCATTCTGACCGAGACAGACAGGAAATTACGTAAAATACGACCTTGCAAAAGAGATCAGTTGATATGTGAAATCTCACCTGTGATCTACAGCTAAGAGCATTGAACATGTCGAAGAATACAAAGCAAGTAAATGTCATGGTAGTATCTCTCGCGGTATTTCCATTAACCATCTGGAAATTAAGCGTGCGTAATCAAGAGAAAAAAGATTACACTTAAAAAAAAACTATCTAGAAATCTTACCTCTCTGTTGTACACCCACAAAGTGCCGAGAATGATGATGCTGGCGGATAACAAGACGTTGATTATAAGGTGACGGGTGATCATTGGCTCCTTCGTATTTCGTGGCTTTTGCTTCAGAACGTCCTTGTCAACCGGTTCTACGCCAAGACTATACACAGAAAAAGATTAATTGCGTATAAGATGCGTGATGAATATTTAATGAAACGTCACACACATCGAAGAGAAAGAAAAAGCTGTTCTGTATTTAATTTACCTTTGAGCAGGTGGACCATCCATAATGATGTTGATCCACAGTATTTGCATAGCATTCAGAGGATTCGGTATACTCATCAACGTTGCGAGAGCAATCAGAGAGAGCGCGGCTATGCTAGTACTCAATTGGAATCTGACGAAATTGCGAATATTGTGAAAGATTCCCTTTCCCTCTTCGATCGCCGCGCTAGAGCAAAAAGTAATATAACAGTCAGCGGCCATACTAGAGTGAATGTCACGCTGATACAAATGTTTCCAAACGTTATTAGGCAATTTACATAATGGTTCTGAAATCGTCGTCGACCAAAATCATGTCGGCCGCTTCCTTGCACACATCGGTGCCGTTTTTACCCATGGCGATGCCTATGTCGGCCTTCTTCAAGGCAACTCCGTCGTTTACACCGTCACCGGTCATACCTACTATATTGCCGTTTCTCTGCAAGGCTTTTATGATACAAAGTTTGTGCTTTGGTGTAACGCGATAAAATACACTAACGCTATTAATGCACTGTTCCAATTGATGCTCGGACATCATATCAATCTCGTCTCCCGAGAGAAGCAGGCTATGAAGTGTATCCAAACCAATCATGCTAGCTGAAAATTAATCAAATCCTTTGTAACTCTGTAAAGATTTGTGCTCGTTGTATAAAAATATTGCAATAGTTTTATATATATATATATATATGTGATATATTATTGTTTATAAAATATACCTATTGCAGCCGCAGTTTCCTTAGCATCGCCAGTCACCATCTTCACCTTAACACCGCTGTTCATTAAAATGCTAATAGATTCGCGCACATACGGTCTTGGTGGGTCACAAATGCCAACCAGACCGACATAAATTAGATCCTGCAATGAGGAGCCACGTGCCAGACCGATCACTGTAACCATATTAAATAGAAATAATCGAAAAATATAATAAAAATTCATCATCCTTTCATTATTATGCTTAGAGACAACACCTCGCAACCCTTGTTGGCCAATATCGTACGCTTCTGTCAAGAACTCCTGATCTTTCTTTTGACTAAGAGGATACACTTGACCATTCTCGTAATATTTTGTACACTGCGGTAAGATTTTCTCCAAAGCACCTTTTACAAAGTATATCTCCTGCCTATTCTGAAATATTGAATTACAGCGTGTATGTACTTGACTTTCTAAAATAAAATAAAAAAAACGTGCATCTATTACCAGGGAGAATGAAGTGTCTGGCTGTAAATTTACCTCTCCAAATTTCGGGGTACATTTCACAGCCATCATCTTTTGCTCAGACGAGAACGGATATTCTTGCAATCGCAAATATCTATCGGCGACACCATACATGCCGAATTTCATTGCCACCGCTATCAGCGCGCCTTCCGTCGGTTGTCCCAACAGAGTGTCATTCTGTATGATAGCGTTATTGCACACGCAACCCACTTCCAGCATGTTACTGATAGCGGCGCGTGCGAAATCAAGATTATCACATTTCCGTATGTGCACTTCCCCCACGCCGTTGTATCCCGTTCCAGTAACATCCGCGATGCAACCCTCCGACGTAACGAGTATCGTGGCGGTCATCTCGTTCTTCGTGATCGTGCCGGTTTTATCAGAACATATCACATTTACGCAGCCTAAAAATAAAACAAGATCTCTCTCTCTCTCTCTCTCTCTTTCTCTCCATATGTTTGAAGCTTTACACGGGAGATTAGAAGAATACACTTTGTAAAATTGAACTGAAACAATTTCTCGAGATTTCCAACGTTACAACTTACCGAGAGTCTCAACGGTTGGTAATTTCTTCACAATGGCTTTTCTCTTGACCATTCGCATCACCCCCAGCGCCAGTGTCACAGTCACGACGATAGGCAAGCCTTCCGGTATAGCTGCTACTGCCAAGCTTACACCAATGGTAAACATCTCAAGGATAGCCTTACCTTGGATCCAGCCCAGCAGCATAATAATACCGATAATGCAGAAGGAATAGAAGGACAGCTGAGCACCTAAAATGTCCATGCTTCGCTGTAGTGGAGTCTTTGGTGCCTCCTCCGCCTGCATCATCGTGAAAACCTCCCCAAATTCACTCTTTTCTCCCGTATTCACTACAATTCCCTGTATCGCGCGATATCGTAATATAAGTTGATGGTAAAGCGCAATGACTCCCAAAGATTTCATGTATAGTCTCAACGGGATTTACCTTGCCGTTCCCGCAGCGAACTAAAGTGCCCATGAACGCGATATTTCTCTTGGACGTCAGCCCGTTGGTCTTCAACAAGGGTGCCGTTAACTTTTGCGCCGGCTCGGTCTCGCCAGTAAAGCTGCTCTCGTCAATCGCCAGATCTATAGCTTCGAATATTCTGATGTCGGCAGGTACTCTATCTCCAATATTTAAATACACTATATCGCCAGGAACTAAATTGCGCGCGAGAAACGTCTCCACGCGACCCTCTCTCAAGCTGGAAACAAAATATCAGAGTGCAACGGCAGCGCAAAAATATCTTAACAAGTAAGAATTAACAATTTTTCTTAGTCGAGATTTCTTTTGCTCGCAAAGCGTAGGATCTCACGAAGTTACACGCAAGTTCCACCTTCTACAGGGTGCAACGGCATTTACGTCTTCTTCGCGAGGGGAAAGGAAAGCCACGCGTATTAAGGATTAGTGTATCCCTTCGAGGACCGCACTTGCCAAGGATTGTAAATTTAGATTCATGCTGCCACAAGATCAAACCAATATCCATTGTGCGTGTACTACGCATAGCGCGCGGTTAGTCAAGTACCTGATAGAAAGCACAAATCTATTTACCAATGGCATATCGGTGGTACCAACTTATTCAATTCCTCTAAAGATTTCTCCGACCGGTACTCTTGTACAAATGCGACTGTCACCACTATTATGATAGCCTACAAAGGAACGCATCACATACATAAGCATCGGTTAGACAACGCCTGCCGAAATTTGTTGTGGGATTGACGAAAGTCAACAAGGGAGAGGCTGAGATCTACTTACCACAGTAATACTGACGGCGTCGTCGAACTGCTTCATGCACACGCTGACAAATGCGGAGGCAAGCAAGAGGAGAATCAACGGATTCTTGAACTAAAACGTTTAAACAAGTTAAGTAAGTCTCATTGTCGCCAGTGATGATTCAAGGAGGGAATATTTTTTTAATAGGTCGACCTAACTGGCAAGAAGTGATCTTTATTTGGTTCGCAACGTTTCGACCCTTTAATCAGGTCCTTTTCAAGTGTGTTCTGCAAACAATCAGGTCCTGTTCAAGTGTGTTCTACAAACAATCAGACCTGACTGAAGGGTCGAAACGTTGCGAACCAAGTAACGATCACTTCTTGCCAGTTAGGTCGACTTATTAAAAAATATCCCCTCCTTAAAACATTTAAACTCAGTTGATTATAACAATCCATCGAGATTGCGTTGTAGTTCCTTCCGTGTACGACGTCGCGGGGCAGGAGAAACTCGCACCTGTTCGATGTATTTCTTCCACGGCGGATCCTCCTCCTTGACGGTGAACTCGTTGAAACCCGTCAGCTGTCTTCTGTGGTCGGCCTCTTGCCATCTGAGCCCCGTTCGCACGTCGACGTGCAATCTAGCCGCCACCTCTTCAGCCCCAAGACTCGCTGATTCGCCGGTAGTCAGCCACATTTCGGAATCTTGTTCTTTGTCCTTGAAAAAACAAAGAAAACATCATCACGTTAATCCACCTGAGCGCATTCGCAAACCATTGCATATTGTTATACATTGGGGGTTTTCATTTAGGGCCAGTTTCACAAACGTCGTTTAACCGCTAACCCATGGTTAATCGATCCTCTGTCTCTTCTTGGATAACAAGATTGAGAAAGATAGGAAGTCGACTGAACTCTGGTTAACAGTTAACTGACGTTTGTGAAACTGGACCTTAGAGAGTAATGTCAGGTTCAACTCAACAGGAGAGGAGACACGTCGACTGGAAAAACAGCTCGTTCACTAATCGGGCACGGCGCGACGATGATAAATCGTTCATTTTAATTACCGCGTTCCACGCGACGTCACATACACGTGTCGCGGATGCGTTACGCGCTACCTCACGCAGTCTTATCAACAGTGCACCAAACCTGCGGCACACCCCCGCGCGTTATCTATTGTCGCAACTGTGTGTAAAAAAAAAAGAAGAAAAGTGCGCGCACCGAGGCGGAACCATTCGGCGGGAAGTCATCTCGATTCTCGCCGGCAACAATCGAGGCGGAGGGAAGTCGTCTCGCGGTCGAGACTCGACAAACGAGGGTGCGTGTCGGGACCAAGTGACGAACGTTAACCTCGCGGCGCGACGGAGGCGCAAACCCCCGATCGATCTGTCGATACGTTTCCGAACGGAAATCGAGGGCGGCGATTACGAGGACGTGAGCGCGGGCGGATCGCAGGACAGGTCGGCGCGGAGGCGGCCCGCGGCGTGTCGCGCGAACAGGGAAGCGCGTCCCACGAGCGATCGCGGCCACGTAAACGGGCAGCTGGGATCTCGGCGAGCGGCCAAGTCAACGCACTGTCAACGGCGATCGCGGAACTTCGCCCGGTCCGGCCGGTCCTCCCGACGTTTTCTCCCCTGCCGTCGACTCCTGCACCCCGTCATCCCGTCATCTCTCGGCGAAGTCAACGTGTCGTGCGACACGCGCCGCGTATGTGCACCACAGGGGCTCTCAATCGTCCCGTGCCACTCGGAGCAGGGAGCCTCCGCGGACGATTGGGGTCCGATGTTGGTTATATTAGAGACGCATTGGCCGACGTTGTTCAACGTGAAGCCAGTATTGGCCGTGGAATAAATGTAAATATTGCACGATGATGATTACATAATGTTAGATTTATACGGAAATGCATTGGCCAATATTTAACAATGCAATAAGAATATTGGCTACCCCGCGAACATAGAACATTGCGCAATATTGTAGCAACGTTGTTGCAATGCTCTGTGTTTGCTGGGTAATTAAGAGAAGGCGTCCACCTTACAATATTGGACAAATATTAGAATTGCTGGATCACATTATTTCCCAATATTGAATATTGGCCATGGAATAAATGCAAATATTGCACGATGATGATTACATAATGTAAAATTTATACGGAAATGCATTGGCCAATATTTAACAATGCAACAAGAATATTGGCTACCCAGCAAACATAGAACATTGCGCAATATTGTAGCAACGATGCAGCAACGTTACAGCAATATTACAACATTGCCGCAACGTTGTTGCAAGGCTCTGTGTTTGCTGGGTAAGTAAGAGAAGGCGTCCACCTTACGATATTGGACCAACATTGGGAATACT